GCTAATGTTACAAGTGCAAAAAGCTAAAAACTTATTTCGCCATATTGCATTAACAAAAGAAATTGCTGTTGTAGAAAACAGACAAATAATAAACTTTAACCATGTTTTGTGACATTTCTTTGTTATTAGGGCAATTTATGCTGAAACAAGTGTTAGAGTGGCTTATGTGTTATCTGTTGAATCCAGCAGAGTGCAGTGTCTGACTTTCTAATGATAATTGTATGATAGTTCAGATAGTATCTCTTCTCAGGTTAGACTGTATTATTTAGTATCATCTACAGTTTTTGGCTTATAATTACAATTGTGGAGTTTATGATAATATTAATGTCGAGATATGCATTCTCTGGACCTACAGAGATATTTGAATATTCTACTTACACCTGTATGTATACAGCATGTATGACGAATGTGCAGGAGTGAAAGTGTTCAGGACACACTGACATCAACCTTTGTGTGTAATTAGACAGCATCACAGTGTGACAACATTCAAACCACTCCAGGATAGTGGGAAGCAGCATAATCCACCATAACACTCAGTTTGAAAATATATGTGTTTCTGAAATAAAAGCCACCTTACGTATGAGTATTGTGGAGATCCAGAAATTCTTTTATTGCTGCCATATAACTTGCATCATTATAATTGCATTAATAACATTCTTTACAGCATTATTCCATTTAATAATATTTCTCACAGTATTGATATTGCATATAAGTTGTTTATTGAGGATGTTTAGTTAAGGATCCTTCTATTATGTTAACTTTTATTACAGGTACAGCCAGAAGTATTTTATACACATTGCATTTGTGCTTATTCAGAGTTGATGTTCCGTCCATTAAGGGTCTTAAGCTTCACTGGCGTGACTGTCCAGGTGATACATGCTGAGGGAAGATGAGAACATAGAAGGTTGACTGCATGCATGCTTACAATACATATGACACATATAATCTAGGAATGTGTCAGGCCTGAGGCCTTAACTCATTTGGTGTCTCACTGTATTTTACTCTACTTGGCAACAGATGACCAGAGTCAACAATTAGCCCCAGAGACACTGAGGGCTTGAAGTTTATTGCCTTGTATGGAAGGTGTTATAGAAAAGAGAAGTTCTATGTCTGTTTATAGC